CCTCTTAGCAAAACACCTTCACCATATTCCATAACATAGGAGCCGAAGTCAAGAAAATCACTACGGGTTGAACTCTTAAAAGTTCCGAGTGAGAAGACTCTATACTCACTAGATTTAACCTATACCGAGAAAACCCAAAATCTCCGGATGAGTAGTTGCAGTATATGCCCGCACTACTCAGGCACTTCGTCCACCTCGTTATAGACAAGTGGTGCCTATCATCCTCCACCTTATTGCATGGAGGAAATCGTCGTCACCCTGTAGACGATGGAATACATTCTCCGAAGTGAACACTAGGATACCGAGAACCACAGGATAACCTTCGCAGCCAAGAATATTTGGTCCAGTGTGAAAGTAGCTGCGTTAAATCTCATGACCTGGATTCCGAAGAGATCATAGGCTTGACACCAGCCTTGGTGTTAGTAGAAGGGTTATGCAGGAACATACACCTTCCATGCTAGGATAAACCACAGTCTTAGAGATTCATTGGATTATTAGGTGTTCCACGAATACTATCTCACGCAAAGATAATAAGAACTACCTCCCGAGATAGTCCAATGCTCGTTAGGTGAAACCCTATCTCCTCGACCCTCAGGGTTTCCGTATCTCAATCTTCGTTAGTGCAGGTCCATTTTGCACAAGCGTAAGATAGACACTCTATAGCAAACCGATAACCATAGTCACGCAACCCACTCGACGATCTAGAAAGCCTCTATCAGCCAGTTGAAAGAAAACACGAAACCGAAGACCACCTGAGCTTCCTAAGGACTAACCTGAAGGACTACACATCCAGTACAAGCGAGAACGTTAGGAACTTCGTAATGGCGATCATGCCAGTGTTGATCTTGCCATAGAAGTACACTATGTTCTTAGTACTGAAAAGCTCTACTCCTTTCCGAGAGCTTAGGACCATCCGAGAATCCTCATGGAGACATGGTCCGACCCTTTTCAGGCCGCTACTACTTTCGGATAGACCACAAGGTTCACATTTGATCGATTCACTTCTTAGACTTGATACGTGAATTCCCGACAACACTCTTCGTACCTCACTCATCTTGATAGAATCCATCGAGAACCCTAACCTTGTAGATACACCAGTTGGAACCCACTAGCTACACGAGACGGAATCCGCATCCCATACGCGAGGGTCTGTTGAAATGACAAACACAGACCAGAGATCACTTGGGGATGCAAGGACAACCACATAGGAAGTACTCTCTTACCTCTACTTGGCCATTCATACCTACTTCCTTGCCTAGATCTGAATTTCGGGACGAAATTCCCTCTAACGGGGGGATGATGTGACAACCCAAGTTGTCCCGTTACATTTCTCCGTTACCGTTAACGGAATATTCCACTGTTCAAAAGTTCCGTTAATGAGAAGTCTTCAAGTTTAATAAACATTTCAATTGTGTATGTTTATATGCCGTTAAGTCGTGAAAAAAGGAAATAAAATACATAGCACATATTTCCATTTACTTGGAAAATATTAGTTTATTATTACGACCACTAAATCGGGTGCGACCAAAAGCCCCGTTTAACGGCAGTATCGGGTAGACTTCCACTGTGTCCCAACTCAAAACCCTATATAAGGGTGAGTGGAGTCTATTGGAGACTTTTTACACACTCTCTCTCTATACTCTCTCTAGACCCGTTTTCGCCCCGAAACCGCAACCAAACGCTTCCAAATAGTAAGTCCGCTTACCCTAGCTTATTCTAAACATATTGAATTGAGTTTATAGCCCAAAAATTGGACTTAGAAGCAATGAAAAAGGAGTTTACGGCCTAAGAACCTCCTTAGGCCGTAAACACCCAAAATGAGGCCAAACTGACCCAAACTTGTCCCTATAGGCTTGGAAATAAATTAAGGGGATTGCCTAGGAGTGTTTAAACATCAAAACACAATGATTTAGGGGACAAAAGAGAGTTTACGGCCCAAGCACAAGCTTAGGCCGTAAACACCTCAAAATCATGTTAAAAGGCCCCAAAAACACTCCCAAACCACCCTTAGGCTTCATACATAATTTAGGGACTTGGTATTTTGGGTTTAGATCACTAAAACACATCAAAATGAAGGATAAAAATGAGTTTACGGCCCAAGCACATGCTTAGGCCGTAAACTCCCCAAACATGCCCAAAATGTTGGTTTTTGTCCCCCAAATGGCCTTAGACTATTTCTATAAAATGCTAGGAAGGGTTTAAGGACTTAAACACAATGAAATGAGGCTTGATTTGGAGTTTATGGTCGTAAACTCCCTTAGGTTGGGCCGTAAACTCCTTGTTTGGTCCATGTTGGTGTTTTAAATCCATTTACACACTTGATATGTGAGTATAGCAAAGTCCCACAACTGATAAGAGACCCTTAGCACCCGTAAATGCTACCCGGGACCCCAAACACTCAACCAAAAGTGTTTTCCACTCCTTTGAGTGTGTATAATTGTTTAATTAGTATATTATATGCTAATTGTATGTGAACATATGTTATCATATGTTAAAATAGGTCCTTGTGTGTGTTCAAGTCCTTGCGTGACCCCGAACGCCCAATCGGCACTTTCGTCGGACCTACTTACACCAGGTGAGTTCATACCCCTGAATGAACCTTTTAAATATTTTTAAATGTTTTATAGGGGGGGGGGGAATACAAGTTAAACATGCCAGTTATCATGTCAATCACATGTGATTGATAACCCGCATACACAAGATTTAACCACTTTACACTGTTTTACCGAGTGGGACACTATAATGATTTTTATTTATTTCATAACTTTTACTTATACTGATTTATTCAAATTCATCCTAAATTGGTTTATGAAAGATCCTCTAAGGTTTTAAACGTATTTTACAAAGGAATACAATTTGTGATTTTCTCTGTACATAAAGGCTTTTCATTAAAGATTTCCCTTTTTGACGTATACTTTTACTTGTTAAACACTGCTGCTTCACTTATACTTATTTTGTACTCTGACTCGGTAACACTTTCACTTATACCTATAGTCGCATATACTTGATGACGCTTATACTTATTCACGCTCTTACTTAGTGATACGATTTCTCCTTCACTTATACTAGATAACGACTTTACTCCACTTATACTTGATAGACGTTCTTACATCACTTATTGTCGTCTCTGCTTCGTGATACACTTATACTTGGTACGCTTATACTTCATGGTTCGATTATCCCACACTGTACACGTATACTTCACGACTCAGATGTTCCACTGTACACTTATACTTCACTGTATGATACACACTCAAGCGTAGTTAGATGTATGTTTATGCTTGTATAGATGCATATAAATAATGATTGAACGACTTGGGAAGGCTTGTCCGCCCTATTTCCTTTTCTTCGTTGAGATGTGGTCTCGTGGGATCGGATGTCCATCTGAAGGTCGTTCGATTCATTAGTTATATATTATGTATACGAGCATAGACATACGAGTTTTCTTCAGTCTGTTAAGAGTCTCTACCTCTAGTCTACACTTACATTAGAAACCCACTCCCTCTTAGTAACACACTATCCTCTATTTGGGATGCATCTTCGGGACGCGGCCTTCTCCGTCGTCTAGTTGGTAACCAGAGTCTCCTGTAGGGAGAGCGGACATTGTGTGTATAGGCCTATACGGGATTGACAACCCCGCACCCTGACTGCTAGCTACAATCCACGGCCTACCAAGCCAAGGGGTGACAAATGTCACAATATATAGATGTTTGTAGGGCGTCTAGTACTCTAGTCAGTATGGTTACGAGTATCCTGGGTTGCCTTATAATTCATGGCTTTAAGGTAACGGTATTTCGTCAGCAATTTACACTGTATGCTGATGTCACCTTTTTCAGAGTCACACTGTTTGACCTTGCTAGACGTGTCTTTCATGTGATACTGTCTGCGGTCTGTAGTCACTGTTTTGACCTTGCGAGATGTACCCTTCATTTGGTATCGTCTGCGGTCTGTCTTCACTGTTTTGACCTTGCGAGATGTACCCTTCATTTGGTATTATCTGCGGTCTGTCTTCACTGTTTTGACCTTGCGAGATGTACCCTTCATTTGGTATCGTCTGGGGTCTGTCTTCACTGTTTTGACCTTGCAAGATGTACCCTTCATTTGGTATCGTCTGCGGTATGTCTTCACTGTTTTGACCTTGTGAGATGTACTTTTCATTTGGTACCTTCTGGGGTCTGTGTCTCCTCTTGTTAGACTGAACCAGGCGTCTCGTATGTTTGATACTTTCCTGGAGTCTATGGTTCTTTGCCTTAGTCAGCAGTCCTCACTGCTGAGGCATATGATATTCCCTGATGTCGTTGCTTTCCTTAATAATCAAATTCAGTATTTTGATAATGATAGCAATTTAGGGAAAACTACTTTTTACTCTACATCACTGACCAGTCTTGGTAGAAGGCTGCTTTTATTAAAGAAAATATAGGATTTTCTGGAAAGGACTCTAGTACACTGAAATCTTTTAAACTACTACATTCTTAAGTTATTTGAATGAAATGTCACTAAATGCTTATGAACCCACCAACATTTGTAAAAATGCTGATATTCACTTTTCAAATAACTTGTATTCTCAGGTTAGCATTAGACAGGTACATCCCCGGAGCTGTTGATGAAGATAGCTTTGTACCACGCTGTATTTATACTATTACTTGTATTACTTTAAAGTGTTGTAATGTAACCTTGTAAAACTATTACTATTAATGCAATGTTTTGTTGTACTTGATTTACTATAATGCATGTGTTGTGATACTTGACATGATGTCATCCACCCCAGAACGTTTCCGCCGTTTCGGTTTTGGGGTGTGACAAGGTTGGGCAGAGGGTACTTGGGAGTACCGATATCGTGCTACGGACTACAGAGAAAATCCAAGTGATTCGGGAACATTTGGTCACAGCAAGCAGTTGTCAGAAAAGTTATGCTGACAAAAGACGCTCCAATATTGAGTTCCAGGTGGGAGATTATGTATTCT